TTTTTAATGGAGAGGTTTTATTTGCTATAGGGCGTGTGCACTTGCCAGACAGACAGAGAGAGACAGAAAGCGAGAAATCATCCCCCAGGGGGAATGGCCACGCTGCAGTCCCTTCTCCTCAGCTCTCCTCTCAGGATCTTGGGCATGCACACACACACACCTGGTGTGAGTTTTAAGCCACCGGGTCCAGGATGCGAACCACGGTTGACTACATGGGAGTCCAGTGACATAGCCATTACGCTAACTGCTGGTCCCAGGCACCCACTCTTGACCAAGCAGGTTGGTGTAATAACAAGATCAGTTGTCCTGAAGAGGAGATAATCAAGTGCCACTTAGCCAGCAATACACTTTTCTCCCATACCAATACCTAGTGGAAATTTTATACTGTAAAGGGTATAAATTGTGAAAAGAAGTAAGCCTGCAATGAGGCTAGAAATAGATGTCTCTAACCACTGAATTGCCATTATTGCATGGTCTGGCCTGGCTCATTTGGGGGCTATTCTTGGGTGCCACTAAGGAATTAAAGGACTTTTTTTTCTTTAATGATTTTTGTTTATAACAAGCTGACTAATAGCATAGATCATACTGTACTAGACTGAAAGTCAGGACTTACATTTAATTCTTGTGTTCCTCATGACCTCGGTATAATATTAGACAAGTGAATAAACTTGTTCGTGCCTTAGCCTCTCCACTTGTGTATGAAGGCATCATATGTAGTATTAAGGTTAGAGAAAAAAAAGCATGTGAAATTCTAAGTAATTACTATTTCACGTGTCAAGATTTTTGTGAAGTTATAACATGGACAGTGGATTTACATTTTTGCTTTTGCAAAAGGTTACGTGTTCTCTATTCATTTCCGTCATGCACTCACTTTGTGCATGTATTGAAATGTGTCTGTCCTATGTACGTATCACATGTGGCACACAGTAAGAGCTATGTAATGTTAGCTGCTATCCATATCATTGTCCAATAAAAACACAATTATTTGAGGCACTTAAAATAGGACATCGTGTGAGAGTATGAGTATAAGGAAACCTTTTGGGCCTTGGCAATATGGCAAGGCCATATTATGATTCTGCAAAAAAAAAAAAAGGGGGGGGGAGTCTGTTAAAAGTGACATTTCTGGCATGTAGTGCTTGTGGGCCTGCAGGTCAGTGCAGCCATCAGTCTCTTATTTTGCAGAATGGGATTTGTTAGAGTTGTCAAGAATAAGGCCTACTTTAAGAGATACCAAGTGCAATGAGAGGGTAAAACTGATTATTATGCTAGAAACGCTTGGTGATCCAGGATAAAAATAAGTACGACACACCAAAATACAGGATGATAGTTTGTGTAGCTAACAGAGGTATCATTTGTCAGGTTGCTTATGCCCATGTAGAAGGAGATATAATAGTCTGGCACAGCTTATGCACACGAACTACCAAAACATGGTGGAAGGTTGGCCTGACGAATTATGCTGCAGCATAGCTTACTGGCCTGCACTGGCCCGCAGGCTTCTCAATAGGTTTGGCATGGACAAGATCTATGAAGGCCAAGTGGAAGTGACCAGAGATTAGTACAATGGAGAAAGCATTATTGGTCAACCTGGTACCTTCACCTGCTATTTGGATGCAGAACTACCACTGGCAATAAAGTTTTTGGGGCCCTGAAGGGAGCGGTGGATGGAGGTTTGCCTATCCCTCACGGTACCAAATGATTCCCTGGTTATGATTCCGAAAGCATGGAATTTAATGCAAACGTCCATCAGAAGCACATCATGGGCCAGAACATTGCAGACTACGAGTTACCTAATGGAAGAAGATGAAGACGCCTACAAGAACAGTTCTCTCAGTATAGAAAGAACAATGTAATTCCAGACATGATGGACGAGATGTATAAGAAAGCTCACACTGCTATACAAGAGAACCCAGTCTATGGAAAGAAAAAAACAAAAACAAGAAAGAAGTTAAAAAGAAGAGGTGGAATCATCTCAAGATATCTCTTGCCCAGAGGAAAAATTCAGTAGGCCAGCTTCCTCAGAGCTCAGGAGCAGGCTGCTGAGAGTTAACCCAAACAATTTTCTATGACTTTACTCAAGATAAAGACAATAAACTTAAGGACAAAGAAAAAAAAAAGTGACATTTCTGGTATCTGATAGCCTTGTTCTCGAAGATCAGCCAGTAGGCAGGCTGCATGTGAATCACCAGGAAGGTTTCTGTGGTTCTGTTTTCAGAGAGTCTGATCTAGTAGGTTGCCAGTAGAGCTTAAGAATGTAAAAATGTTTTCATTTCTAAGGTGATATCAATTTCAGCCAGGTCTGGGAATCATTGACAGTACAGAAAAATATAATTCAAACATTTGATTTAGTACATCATTTGTTTCCTATCATATTATTTAAAGTGGTATATATTGGGCAATATCCACACCCAGATAAGACTGGAAAGATACCTGTCAAGGTCAGAGTTGTGCTTATCTCTGGAGTATAGGTTTATGGAAATATTTATTTCTGCATTTGCTCTTATTATTTCTAAGTTTTCTTTCAAGTAAATATTAATTTCATAATACTAGATGTTGCTGAGGACATTATCCACAGCCAGTGCAAGATTTTTTTTTTATCATTTTCTTTAGAGATATTTTTGCTATAGGGTACATGTGCTCACCAGAAAGACAAAAGTTAGAAATCCCCCCCCAGGGGGGTGGCCATGCCACAGTCCCTTTTCCTCCATTCTCCTCAGGATATTGGGCACACACACACACATGTGTGTTCAGCATGAGTTTTAAGCCACTGGATCCAGGACTTGAACCACAGTCAGCCATGTGGGAGTCCAGTAATGTAAATCTCATCTGCTTATCCCCCAAGATTATTTTTTAAGAATTAATTAACTAATTAATTAATATATTTGAATTTGATATAGGGCACAATAGAGAGGGAGAGAGAAAGTGAGAAAGCTAGCACCAAGTCTGGGACTCCAACCACCATCAGCCACATGGGAGTCCAGAACCCTAACCACCATGCCACCTGCTGGCCCAGAAGGTGCAAGATTTTAAAGACCTCCATGCAACCCATGCTTTTCATTTACAAAATGTGAAAAAAAAAATTAGTCAATACATATGTCACATTTTTGTTTTGTTTTGAAGAAAAGGAAAGTCTGGAAAGCAATGTGGGAAAAAATAGACTTTTTGGTTTTAAAAATGTTGCAAATTATTTCAGAACACCAAATAAAAGTATATTTTAGTGCTACGGCTATGTGTTGAAATCTGGTGAGCCATTGTAACGGAGCTGAGAGAGTGGAGATTTAATCTGATTACGGTGTTGAAAGGTGGGGTGTGTGAGAAACCATTGGGCATCAGGGCGGGGCCCTAGTTGTTGGATACGTCTAGGTGTGTAAGTGAATAGACACAGATGCATGCATGCTCCTGCCCACCACCAGACTGCAACGTAGCCATGACGACATGCCGCCAAACAGACCTCCAAACCATAAGCTGCATAAACCTTTATTTTTATAAATTACTCAGAATCAGGTGTTTTTCTTACTAGCACAGAATGAGCTAGAACACTTAGAAAATATATAACAAATTAAATCCTGTTAGCTTTTACTTCTTTTGCTTTGGCAAGACTGGAAATACACCGATGTTTATAAAAGGACTAATTGGTCAGTAACTGTATACTTGATGTGGAAAGAAAAACAGTTCTGGTATAATAAAGTTCTTCCATCCAATTTATATTCTGGGCTGTGCTCCAAGACAACGCTCATTCCTTTTTAAAGATCCTCTTGGCTTGTACTCCTTCATATGTATAAGTCTGAAAGGTGTTAAGAAAAATAAAAGGATTGGCCATTAAGATTTAAATCTAAATTAAGAAATATATTGGTATTATAGTTATGAATGAGTTTATATATTTTTTTGTACTTGACAACATTTTATACAGATAGAAAAAATACCCATTTTAAAAAGCTTTATTATGTAGTCATTTATATTTTTAGTTTAAATAGGCATTGATTTATTTGACATATATATGTGTGTGTGTGTGTGTGTGTGTGTGTGTGTGTGTGTGTGTTTTCTTCAGGAAATAGGCATCAGGAAATACCTTTATTTTAAATCAGTAAGATTTATGAGAAAAGAGTCTGTTTTCTGAAAACATGTGAAAGATATGTCAACAATGGCAAAAAAATTGTTATGTAATCATTTCAATCTTTAGAAAATATCTATAAATCTTTCTACAACTCACCTGGACTAGTTCACCGCCTATAATTTCTCGAACCGCATTCAACTCATTTCCATTGTCTGTTCGTTTGAATTTTCCAACAAGTTTATTTCCTTCAATGTTCCAAGTTCCCTAAATAATAGTAAAAGACATTTATGACATTAGGGTTGTACACGTGTCAAGCCCTGTTCTGAGTTCTGTGGATTTCCTTTTTCATTTAATCTTCACAGTGACCCTCTGAAGTAGATTCTTTTTTTATTTTATTTTTTTGATGAGAGATTTTTGCTATAGGGCTTGTGTACTTGCTGGAGAGACACAGAGATAGAAAGTGAGAAATCACCCCTCTAGGAAGAGATGGTCATGCCACAGTCCCTTCTCCTTCATTCTCCTCTCTGGATTTTGGGCATGCACACACACATGCCTGGTGTGAGTTTTAAGCTGCCAGGTCCAGGACTCAAATTGTAGTCCACTACATGGGAGTCCAGCAACATAATCATTACGCTATTTGCTGGTCCCTGAAGTAGATACTGTTATCTTCATTTTACAGATGAAGAATCTGTAATCATTCACCTGAAGTCACAGATCAGCAATTGAAACAAGACTGATGAGTCAAGCGTATATGTTAGTAATCATTACGATCCTCTCCCTTGATAATTTCCACAACTGAATTTTAAGGCGGATAAAAAGATTATCTTTTTTCTAAAACTTCTGTGTTGAAAAGATTGTCCTAAATGTAGTCATGGTTCAAATTAGTTTCATGGAGAGGTTAAGAACATTGTGATATTTTAGTTTATGTGAGTGTGATAGTAATGAAAGACTGGCCCAATTAACAAAACATCAACTGTTAAACTGCCATTGCAAACCTATATAATTGAACTAGAAAAATTCTGAGACTAAAAAAAGTTTTAAAAAGTTGACTGAATATGATGACTTCCTAATTTTTTTGTTTATTTCTTTCTTTCATGACAGAGGTAGAGAGAAACAGGGAGAAAGAAGGCATTCACACCAGGTTCCCGTGCTTAATCTGGCCAGAGATCACAGGTATGTGCTTCTGGTGTGTACAGAGAGCTCTGATCACGAACCAGGGACCTTCCCATGTGGGTCTTGGATGACAGAGTATTGCCTTGCCTCTGTGTCCCTGCTGCTGGCCTAAAAATTTTTATTGTAAACACCAAAAGGTGCATTCCCAATAACCCACAATGTAACTACCATTAGACTTTTCCATTTGGTTACTCACTCATTTGTTAATTATTATATTATTTCAGTACATTTATTAAATGGCTTTACATGTGAGTTGCTTGATTCTAAAAATTTTATTGCTGTCAGGTATGTAATGTTAAAAACTCCAAGCTTTAGGGACTAACAGTTAGTGTAATGGCTATGTTGCTGAACTCCCATGTAGTCGACTGTGGTTCGAGTTCCGGACCCTGTGGCTTAAACTCACACTGGGCGTGTGTGCGTGTGTGCACAAGATCCCGAGAGGAGAATGGAAGAGAAAGGATTGTGGTGTGGCCATCCACCCTAGGGAATAATTTCTCGCTTTCTGTCTCTCTGTGTCTCTCTGGTGAGCGCATGCACCCTATAGCAGAAACCTCTCAAAAAAAAAAAAAAATCCCACCAGGGATCAGCATTTAGCGTAATGGCTATGTCGCTGGACTCCCATGGAGTTGACTGCCGTTCAAGTCCTGGACCCAGTGGCTTAAACTCATGCCGGGCATGTGTGCGTGCATGCCCAAGATCCCAAGAGGAGAATGGAAGAGAAGGGATTGCGGCATGGCCATCCCCCTTAGGGGGTGATATCTCGCTTTCTATCTCTCTGTCTCTCTCTGTCTTTCTGGCGAGCGCACGCGCCTTATAGCAAAAACCTCTCCCAAAAAAAGAAACAAAAAAACCCTCCAAGCTTTAAATATCTTTATGAATGAGTATATACTCAGTCAATTGAAGGATATTTTTTCAATCTAGATTCTTCACAGATGTGTATACAAATAAAAATATTATATTTAAATATCCTCCTAATCTGTGCAATAGAAAAAGTGGATGAACCATTAGCTTCTTCAGTAAATGAAAGATACTGCATTAATTAAACCTCCAATGATATAGAGCAGACATTGTTTTAGGATTGGGTAGAAAAACAAGAATGCATTGCTTATAAAGGATTTCTTACAGTGAGTTCAGTTCCATCTGCAAGACTGTAATTAAAGGTGACACCAAGTTCAAAAACAATGTCAACGTTTCGAAAAGTGCTTGATTCTTTGACGGTGAATTTATTTCCTTCTTGTGTAATTATCAGTTTCAAATTGTCATGAGCTGCAAGCTTCCTTTTTACCATATTAATACCTGAAAAAGAAAAGAGAGTGAAGAAAATAGTCAGGAAACCATAGAAAAGTATTTATTTTTACAAGTTCTGTTTTGTTTGCTTATTTTTATTCTTAGGGTAGGGAAGAAAACTCAGTAGCATTGACTTTGCACAGGGATCTTCTTCTGTAGAAGTTTAAGCACAAAGACCCGAAGAGGCTCAGTGGTAAAACATGATGCTCTTGGGGCCATCAGATAGCATAGTGGTTAAGGTGCTGGACTCCCACATGGTCGACTACAGTTTGAGTCCTAGACCCAGCAGCTCACAACTCACAATGGGCATGTGTGCATGTGTGCCCAAAAACCCCAAAAGGAGAGTGGAGAAGAAGGGAGTGTGGTGTAGTTATCCTCCCTGGGGGGCGATTTCTTATTTTCTGTCTCTCCGTCTCTCTGGTGAGGACATGTACCCTATAGTGAGTGCATGTACCCTACTGCCTACAAATTGACTACATAAATCTTAAAGGAAAGGAAAGGAAAGGAAAGGAAAGGAAAGGAAAGGAAAGGAAAGGAAAGGAAAGAGAAAAGAAAAGAAAAGAAAAGAAAAACAATACTTTTTGAAGTGTTAGTTAAGATCTACACTTTCATACCTCCCTGAAAATGCAGGGACTGTAAGTACCCATGATCTGGGACTGGCTGAGGCTGGGTATGAATCATGGCATCAAGACTTTGCTGGCGGTGATCTCTCCATTTCTCTATCTGTCTCTGTCTCATTTATTGATGAAATAAAAAATAAACTTAAAAAAGAAGTTCAAGGTCAGCTAGATTATAGAAAGATTCAAGCTGTTTTTCTAAACCAAAAGAAAGATTAAATGATGAACAGAACTTAGAATCTTAGAGCTAAGTAATTTGATAAAATTAACTTTTTTTTGTTTAATGTTAAGTTTAAATGAAATTCCAAAAATATCAAATGAAACATTAGAGGTTACACTTATGTATTTATAAGGAAACACAGCTTTAACCCCACATACAGTCTTCATTTTTTTTTGTTTTTTGGTTTTTTTGTTTTTTGTTTTTTTTTTTTTTTTTCCTGAGAGATATTTGCTATAGGGTGTGTGTGCTTGCCAGAGAGGCAGACAAAGACAGAAAGCGAGAAATCACCCCTCAGGGGGGTTGGCTATGCTGCAGTCCCTTCTCCATTTTCTTAGGATTTGGGACACGCATACGTATACATCCAGTGTGAGTTTCAATCCACCGAGTTTGAGACTTGAACTGCTTGTGGTCAGCCACATGGGAGTCCAGCATCTTAGCCAACATGCCACCTGCTAGTCCCAATATTCTTATTTTTTTTCTTTTAATGTCCTTTTGCTTTCTATAATGGCTTATAAATTTTCAACTTCATAGTTCTTTTTTGCTTTTTATAACATTTCTGAGAGAAAAATGAGAAAATTTTATTGCCAAATTTATTATTATAAGAATGTACCAAGTTCATAAATTTAAACTTGGAATCCTTAAACTGTAGGATATAATTGATGAAAAGAATTTTTTTGGGGGAAACATACAAATATGTTTTCCCATCATATACGGTGTATGGCTGCCAGAGCATTGGTATAAATCTATAGATCTGTTCATCTAAAACTCCTACAGAAGCTGTTCGAGACTTTTTCCCCCAAAGTTTTAAAAATAAGAAGAAATAAGAATTAAATCTAATGTATTCAGAACTGTGACTGTTGATAGAACTCTTTTTCATTACTTTATTATACAGTCTTTGCTTTTCCATCCCCTAGAATTCAGTGTTTGAAGATCTGGAAGCCATCATTACACATTACCATGTTCTTATTCTAAACAAAAAAGCCAATTTTTTAAAAAATTGGTAAATCAATAGAGTTAAGGAAACATCTGAATCTTTTTGTCTGTTTCAGAGAAAAGCACTTAGTGAATCTCTTCTTCCACTAGTGAGACAGTCTATTTTTTTAAAATAATTATTTATTTAATTTTGTTTATTCATCATTTATTTTAATTTGATCAGAGAGAGATACACACACACACACACACACACACACAGAGGGAAAGTGAGAGAGCAAGCCACCAGGTCCAATATTCAAGCCGTGGTCAGCCGGTGGGAGTGTCCAGCGCCTTAACCATCACGCCACCTGCTGGTCCCCAAGACAGTCTATTTTTGTTAATATATGAAGTGAGAACATGATTTTCCCTGCTCTGAACTATCACATTTTCTACATTCTTACTACCACCACATCAGGAGCCATTTCCTAAGACTAGAAGTTTAGAATTAGGGGCTGGCAGGTGGCATAGTGGTTAAAGGCACTGGACTCCCACATGGCCGACTACAGTTTGAGTCCTTGATCTAGCAGCTTGCTTTCTCACTTTCCCTCTCCCTCTCTCTCACTTTGTCTTTCTCTGGTCAAATTAAAATAAATAAATAAAGTTACACGAAAGAAAAAAATGTCTGTGAAAAAGTAATGAATGAGCCACTAAGGAATGAAGTCCTTACCCATTTTTTCCATGAACTTGTCATAGTTCTCATTTCGATCTATCTTCCAAGTACCATCAAATGCCATGGTTTCAGTTTTGTCAGCCTGTAGGTGGTCAGAGATTCAGATCTGTCCTCAGGAGAGAATTTATTCTATTTCTTATCTTAAAACCAACCTCACACTGTGATGTGGAGGTTTAAAGTTCAAGAGATCACCCGACTATACAAGGAAAAGCCACTCTACCTTGTTTCCATAAAGCTCTTCTTCTGAAATTCAACTGAATGAAAACAGGATTAGCATACCTACTCTGCCTTAAACTATGATTTGTGGGCATGTTTATCTGAAGAATTAGAATGCATGCTGACTGAAGATAGTTTTCCTACTTATGAGTTCCAAGCGCACACTATATTGGAGTTAACATAATTTATAGCATATTTAATATCAAATAATGTCTGGGAAAAGAGACTATTAATGACCTATCAGATTTTCACAATAGTAATTACCTTATAAAGTAAGACTTAATGAAAATATACAGTTGAAAAGTTAAAATGATTATTGGGACTGAAGATTTATTTTCTAATAAGTCCTTTCATATTTTATTTAGGATTGCCAGGAGTTTGGACAAATATCCTGGCACCTGGTACAGTGCATGAACACAGTCGGTATTTGTTACATTTTCGTTTTGGTCTTGAATAGTGATAGGCCCCTAGTGATAGGCCCCTGAACAAAATTTCAACCGGATAACATAAAAATTCTCAGAATCAGTTCCTTTTTTTCTTTTTTTTTTTTAATTGCCAGAGGGTATATGTGCTTGCCAAATGGGGGATGTAGAAAATAAACCCTCCCTCAGTAAGGCATGGTCATGCCACAGTGGAGGATCTCCTATCTATCCTGGGGATTTTGGACTGACATTCACATATACCCTGTGTGTTTTTCAAGTCATATGCAGGCCAGGATTTGAACCGCTAACCATTAGACTATGGCTGACCCAAGTTTTAAACATCTGCTATATGTAGAAAGAACAAAAGCCAGTTCGCCATGCTGTTAATTAAAACTATTCCTCTGTTTCACCCTTGTGCCTGCTCAACTCCAGTCCTAGTAGAGTAAGAAGCTACAGCTCAACATGTGTTGGGCCAGCAGATGGAGTAGTGGTTGAGGTGCTGGACTCCCACATGGCTGGCTGCGGTTTGAATCTGGACCCTGCAGCTTGAAATTCATGCCAGGCACGTATGTGCATATGCACAAAATCCCAAAAGGAGAATAGAGGAAATGATTTTGCGGACTGACCGTGCTCCCTTGGGGGCAGGGGCGGGGGTGGGGAGTGACTTCTCACTTCTCTCTCTCTCCTGTGAGTGCACATGTCCTATAGAAAAAAAATCTCTCTCTCTCAAATAAAAAGATGTGTCTGGCGTGTAGGTACAAGGGTAGCTAGAAAGATCAAAAGAGAAGGTTACCCTACCTCCCTTTCTCCCCTGCAGGCTTCTAGTCTGAAGCCAGCCTGCACTGGGGAGGAAATACACTAACCTATTCTGAAGTACAGAGTTTTTGAGTTTTGGCACAGGAGAAAGGTCATAGTAGGAAGTCCTTTACATGAATAACTTTAGCTTTATTTTTACAAACTGGCTACGTTGTCTTTAACTCTCTTTGGTCAAAGATAATGAAAATCTCATCATTTGAAAATCATTGACCTAGTATACTTTCAACATGGGGGGAAGTAAAAAAGTTTATAAGTACTCTAAATCTGATGACTAAAAATCTCTCAGGTAATCCACCACCGTGGGTAATTCATGAATGTAGAAGGAGATGAATGATGAATCCAATCTTTTTTTCTAGATTAGAAAAAGGACTGTATCTGGTCACAAAAATAAAAATGTGATATCACAAGAAGAACATAGGTTTTAGAAACAAATTAACTTGAGCTTCAACACTGCAACACCCATTATTATGCAGGGCCTTGGTAAGATTACTCAACCTCTCTGAGCTTCAGTTTCCTATAAAGTGAAGATAATAATAGTACTATATAGAGACTTTCATGAACAAATTGTACAACTGATCTTCAAAAAGTTCATGAGAAAAGGTGTATTATCAAAAAATGCATGGATTTCATTTTTTGTGCCCAAATAAATTCATACTTTAATTCCATTTTAACAAACTTATTGATATTTCTGCATGGAAAGCACACACCTAAGTTATCAGGTATGTCTTAGGTTTGCCTGTTCAGGATAGCATCATTGCTATAGTACCATCTGGGCTCACATCTTTCCACTCTGTGATGTCATAGCAGTTGAGATGGAAGTGCTTAATTCAGTCACGTAGGAAGGTGGGGAGGAAGAGGCTAGAATGACGTCCTACCATTGTTCACCTAACAGTGTCTTTCAAACATGATCTTGCTGTTTGTCTCATGGCCACTTTAAGTGTCTCAAGAATGGAATAGGATAAGTTGAAAGCACAGAGCATTTGGACTCCCACAAACTTGCCAACAAAACGGACATGTTAAATTTTCAGTATTTATTTATCAGTGGCAGTAAGCCTAATTGAAAGTCAGTTAGAAAACCCTGTTATCTCTGTAGAGTGGCATCATTAGATTTTTTTTTAATGCACAGATCATATTTTTAACATCATCCTTATTTCTTCACTAGCTCCTCAACTCAATGACACCCTGATTCTTATTAATTACCTGTATTCCTTCTAGATAAGAATATTTAGCATGATGCCCTACAGACATTTCTTACTGATGATAACGATTGAGCCAATGAGAAAAGAGCCTACCCAGCTCTTTACTTTTTGTTCTGGTAATACTAGAAGACTTAGAGTTTTGCAGTTTGGGAAAGTAAGAGGATTAAATGTATGTGTGCATGTAGGTGCAGAGTCCATGTAGTTAGAACTATACTCTCTGGGTTCTGCAGGCCACATTACCAGCTGAGTCAGCTGAATCAAGTGGACAGCAGCAGAAGCTCCTGCTTTTCTTGCTCCAAGGACAAGTATAAGCCATGTTCCTCAAGGGGGCTTACCATCTTGGCATCTACTTATATCTCCAGTCTCCTTCCATTCTCTTCTTTCGTTTTGTTTTTCTATAGAACCTGAGCACTTGCCGGAAAGAGACAGACAGAGAGACAGGGAAAGTGAGAAATTCCACCCCCAACCCCCAAAAAGGGGATGGCCATGCCACAGTCCTTTCTCTTTCATTCTCAAGATTTCGGCATGGATGCACATGCCCCTGGCGATATTTTCAAGATACCAGGTCCAGGACGTGAACAGCAAAATAGGCTATGTGGGATCTAGTCCCTTAGCCTGCTGGCTCTCTTTGCATTCTTTACTCCAACTTCTAGATGTTTCTCATAGTCACCAGTCTCTGAATGCTCATACTTCCATTGCATCAACTCCCAGCGTCATCACTGACGGCTCTAGGAAACCTGCCTTGAGCTACCAAGAATGAGTCAGGAAATCCTCCTCCCAGGGTTGATGATCTCCTAAAAGGTTCAATGTAGCTCATAAAAGACAAAAACAACAGATTTATAATAACCATGGATATATTGTCATGAAGTCTGAAGACATCATTAGCAAGGGTAACTGGATGTTAAAAGTCATGTCAAAGAAATAGCTCTCTAGAAACCACAAAAAACCTTTTACTGTATTTATAGCACAAGATAGTATTTTTTTCTAGAATATTATGTTTTTATATATCACTTATGAGAAAACATATTTTAAGTCATTTTCTAATCACCTCAGGATTTATGGGTCCTGTTTTCTTTTCCCCTTTTGTTATGCCAAAGGACATGTACATGAGAGAGAGAGAATTCCCCTCCATGTATAACACACACACCATGGGGCCTGGTCTGTTGCAATCCTTTTTGTCTCCAATTCCCCATTTCATCAGGATTCTGTTTTTTAAGCCACCAGGGTCAGGACTGAAATCCTGGTTGGTCGTGTGACATTCAGCTTCCTCCACATAACATTTAAACACTGCCCTGTCAAGCTGGCCTGATTTTTTTTTTTTTTAAATCCAATTGGTTTAGCCTGTATTTGTCAAAGAGAGACCAGTCTCTATCAGAGCCATATCAGAGAAGAAGCTGAGGGACAGATAGAAGTAGTTACAGTAACATCTTAAGGTTACTGTCTAATTCCTAGCAGTGAATGAGGAGTGAGGGAGAATTCTAAAGTTTGCTGGCAATTTGCTTCATTCTGTTTTAATGATTAGTCTCTAAATTTTAGGAATATGAAGACTTGTTTAATAATGTTCTAGATTTTGTACTGACATGGCTAGTTTGTTTTCTTCCAAAAAGACTACAGACATGTGCAAGTGGAAGGATGTCTACCATTGAGTGTGAATGTGGCTCTGTCACTCTCAATGATAACAGAACAGCCATTTTAGAGAATTTACATCTATCAGTTGAAGGAGGTTCTATGAAGGTTTATGGCATTCTCTTTGAAATCTGGGCCTATCCCCAAAATTGAAGTTCCCTTCAACCTTATAGATAGGACATTGATAGTCTCCTTCTACCACAGAGAAAAAGATTTGCATTATCACAGCCTCCCACTGCCACATCCAAACCATTATGCCTCTACTTTTTTTTTTTCAAAAGGCACTCTTTTGATACCACTTGCATTTGGCAATATCACCTTACAGAATAATTTGTCACTGTCATCTACCATCTAGTCTCATCTACCATTATCTACCATCTAGTTCTATCTAGCATTCTTATCTACCATATATCACTGAAAATCATGGCACCTGGATCATCATTATCCTCTATGTTCTGCCATCATCCTGGGTAACCTCAAAGTCCATGTAGATAAGCCACCTGCCACTCTGGCTTCTCAGTTCTTTAACCCCCTCATATCTAGTAACCTTTACTTCTATGCTTTATTCACTTCATGCAGGGTTGAGCCCCTTCCTGGATTATTTCTTTATCCAACTGATATTCTGCTACCAATGAAAAACTCCTTTACCACTTCTTTCTGTACTGACCTCTGCACTGACTGCCCAAACCGTCTATCTCAATGAGCTCTTCCCATATGAATGACAAGCAATGACTTTATCTTTCATTATTCTCCTATACCCTTTTACCCTTGCCCTCAGCAGATGACCTCCACATTATTTACAGGGGAAATAAACTATTAGCAATTCCTTTAATATATGCCTTCTTAGTTACCTGTTACTACTTTCTTTACGCCTATTAATTCTTTCACCCATTTTTTTTTATTTCAACATATGTTTGAATTTTTACTATG